TGGCTGAAAATACTTTGGTCTTTTTGTTTTTTTTAAATAGAACATCCTTTTGGGTGAAAAAGAAAAGTACAGATCAATTTTTTTAAGTCCATCCCCTAGGCACCATCATTTAATTATGAGTGGGACATAAATTATGCATCGACACACTGTTGCCTTTTTTGTATATGGGTTTCACCTATTCAGAGATCTTGACTCTCCTTCCAATTTGCTCGACCCTGGGGACTCAGGGGAGACAGCCCACAGCTCTCACCTGCACAGAGTTGAGTCGACAGTAGCCATTGAGCGGGAAACGGATAACATGTGTGGGGTCCTGGTTCCAGCCAGCATTGACCGAGTTGCACATGACGTCCCCAGTCTCAGGGAAGACCTCTTCGATGAGGGCTTTCTCGCCACTTAGGGCAATGCGTTCACCCAGGTCGGGGGTGACACGCACCACCAGGCAGTCACAGGCCCTGCTGCGGCGCCGCTGCTCCTGCTCCTGCTGCCAGCGCTCCAGTTCCCGCACCATGGGCTGCAGCTGGTAGTACCGAGCCTCTTCGTACAGCAGGTTGAAGTCCTGTGGACATGTGGATGGTGTCAGGAAAGCCAGATGCAGTCCCCTCTGGGATGGTCTTTCCATCCCCAGCCAGGGGTCCCCTTTCCCTCTTCACAAATATATAGCACCTCAGGGCACAGTGTGGACTGGGATGATTGTCCCCATTGTACAGATGGGCAAAGGAGACTCATATGAGGACTGGCTGGTGTGTACCCGTTCAGACTCCCTTCTTAGTCCTTAGTGGCAGAAAGGAACTTCCTAGGAAGATCTGGAGGCTAAGCTAGAGGTGTGGGAGCTGGGGGGTGAGGGGGCTGTGGCCATCCTGGAAGCTCCTGCAGAGAAGACCCCAGGCTAGCCATAGAGCATCCTGGCCCCACCCAGCCAGAGGTTCCTTAGTCAATCCTCCTTTTAAGTCTCATCATCCACCAGTTATAAGGCCTGTGAACCAGCTGCTGGCCTATCCTGAGCTCCAGTTTCCTCCTCTTTTTTTTTTTTTTCTTTTTTGAGACAGGGTCTCCCTGTAGCCCTAGCTGACCTGGAACTCACTAGACCAGGCCGATCTCAAACCCACAGAGATCTGCCTGCCTCTGCCTCCCGAGTGCTGAGAAATTTTTTTTTTAATTTTAATTATTTTTATTTTATGTGTATGAGTGTATTGCCTGCATATAGGTAAGTGCACCCGTGTCATGCAATGCCCGTGGAGGTCAGAAGAGGCTGTCGGATCCCCTGGGACTGGAGTTACAGACAGTTGTTAGCTGCCATGTGGGTGCTTGGATTTGAACCCGGGTCTTCTGCAAGAACAGACAGTGTTCTTAACCGCTGAGCCATCTCTCTAGCCCTTCCTCCTCTTTAAAAGGGACATAAACACCCAACTCAGAGAAGCAAAGATTAAAGGACAGAAGAAGCACTCAGCAGGCAGAAGCAGGAAGCCCACAGGCCTGAAGTGCTACCATTTGCTGGTCCCAGTCTTCGAACTGCCAAAGGTGGTCCATAATCCCAACCCATCCTCCCACCATGAGCCTCACACTTCCTGCCTTTCTGCAAAGACTCCGCAGGGCTTCATCCAAGAACTCTGCTCTTCCAGCTCTCCCAGAGTTTTATGTGACATCTTTATGCACACTCTTTCTTTATATCCTAGAATGTTCCATGCCTGGACTTTTCACTCATTGACCCAGGACTCAAGCTGTAAGCTGGGGCCACCCTTGAGTACCTCCTGACCCCTGCTAAGTCACACCCACATCGCTCTGCTGCCTCTTCCTAAATGTAAGTCTCTGCTTGGCTCTATCCTCTGCTTCCACTCAGTCAAAGGCTCCTGGAAAATGTTCCTTGGCTCAGCAACATGGACGAATCTATAACTCACCTCCTGTCCCCACCCCCATCCTCCTGGCATCCTTCTTACACAAGAGCCAGTGAGATCCTCCCAATTTGCAAATCTGATCATCCTTTCCCTGCTCACAGTTCTTCCACAGCACACAGGGGAAAGTGCCAAATGCTGAGCCACCCACCAAGATCCAGATATCACCCAGCAGCCTCCCCTCCCACCCTTCCTCTCCTGGTTCACAAAGCCCCAGGCTCCACATGGTCTCTCCAGTGCTCAAATGTATGGAGCCCTTGCTGTGCTTAGACCCTTACCAGGGTCTTCACACCTATCTGTCCTGCCCCTCCTTCACCACCCAGCGAAGCACTGATTCTTTTAAACACACCTAGGCTAGTCACTTGCATAACACTCTATTCTGTTTCTTTGTTTATTGAGATAGGGGTCCACGCTATAGCTCAGGCTAGCCTAGGACCTGCAGCAATCCTCCTGCCTCAGCCTCTGAAGAGCCGAGCTTAGAGGTGTGAGCTACCACACGCTTGGCACATAGTCTATTTCTGAAGCACTGGTCTCCTGCAATTCAGACTCAACCTCTATCTTCTAGTAGTAGCATGGGGGCAGAGCCCAGGGCTTTCTTGTTGTGTCACTACATTTTTAGACCAAATTCAGTTGTTGCCGTTCAGTAACCAAGCGGGATGAAGGACATAGGGCCCCAGGGCTACTAGTGTTGTGGGAAGTTGCAGGAAGCCTCAAAGCAAAGAAGCAAAAAGACAGACATTTGTTAGCCTGAGCCAGGCCAGAGTTTCCTTCCTCTCATGAGTCCCAAGACTTCGGAGGGGCTCAGCACTAAGGCAGGACCAGAGGAATCAGATCAGCTACCTGGGACAAGCTCCTTCTGAAACCTGGGTGTGAGGGGTGGGGTAATGTTTTGTTTAAAGGTATTCACCTCAAGCATGGAGGCGGGTGTTCTTCCTGCAAATTGCCAATAAAGAACAGATTCATGGACTTCTAACTCCTGTACTCCAGCACATAGAAGTCTTTAAACATGACTAACATTAACCTGGGGTGTTCTTCCTGCAAATTGCCAATAAAGAACAGATTCATGGACTTCTAAAACTCCTGTACTCCAGCACATAGAAGTCTTTAAACATGACTAACATTAACCTAGGGTAAGTGTCAAAGCTTAATTGTTGTTACACCCTGATAAATAAGCTGAAAATGTGAGAAAGCAAAATGAGTTTAGAAAAACTGATTTAGCCCTCTGGCTTCATCGGTTAACTTTTTACGGTTGCCATAGCAACCATGGGTCCATTTAGTAAGTCACAGTGTCCCCTGTGTAATGCTACGACACAGGCAACCCATAGGGAGCTACTGGCTTTCGGCCTTACCTTAAAATCATCTGGGAGCAGCAGTTTTGACGTCCTTAGGAAGCTCAGGATGTAACGGAATATCTCTCCATCTCGGTCAATGAAATAATGTTGCTTCAGACTGTCTAAGACTATGGGCTCTGTGCCGTTGAAGAGGCGACTTATCCTGAGAGAGACAGGCAAGATGGGATGTGGGAAGAATGAGGGCTAAGTTCACCTGCCCCACCCTAACTCCTCATGATCCACCCAGCTGAAGGGGCTGTCTGGCCACCCTTGGGTAATTAGGGACCATGCCGAATCTGACAGCCGTTTGCACAGACAGACAGGATACCGCTGTATAGGGCACCGGAGCAACCACAGCAAATGCCACACACCCCATCCACATTCACAAGCCACAGCCAGCTAGAGACACACCTAGCTGTATGCCCTGGCCCGCTGACACATGCTACAGGCTTGGAAAACTATGGCAAGACACAGATGGGCCACATAGACCAGCCAGTCACAGAGCTGTACACACAAATTTGCCAGAAAGACCCACCCAGAAAATATACATTGACCACCCAGCACTCCAGTCCACAGCCACACACCTGCTGAACATATGTCAAGCAGGCAAATCTCTGGGGACACACCTTTTCACAAAAATGGCATCAGCCAGCATCAGACACATTCAGCCAACAGGCACAGGGTCACACAGTCCCCTCTCTTGCGGCACACGCATCTTAGGCAGATACCCAGACGACACTGACCAACTAACACATGCAACTTAGAGACATGAATCCACATGTGACCTTATAGCTGCTCACTCAGGGAGCCAATGGGAGAAAGAGGCAAGAGGGACAGTGTGCATGTGTAGCACAGAACACACACACACACACACACACACACACCAGAGCACATAAGCACGTCATGTGCACAGCTGGTCAGAGGCTGGAACTGGGAAAGAAAACAGGTCCCCAGAAAGACAGTAGTCTTGCAGACACAGGGCCTGTAGAAAGGCTTTGGAGAGTCCCTGATGCCTCTCCTATCCATTTCATGGTGGAGAAATGGCCTCAGAGCATTGGCTGGTGCCTCCCCAATGTGCACAGTGGCTGGTAAGGGCTGGTACAGCTAAATGCTCTGCAGATCCAGGGCTAAACAACAAGGCTGGGGCAGCTAAAAACTTAGCTTGGGAACAGGAGGGAGATGGGAAGTATCTTCCCAACAGCAGCACCACCAGGCTTCTTTAGCCACAGGACCACACTGTGGCCAGCTAGATCTTACCAAGGTGGCAGCTTGTCTTCAAGCCTGGGAGAAGATGGTTCAAAGGGTCTAGGGCCTGAGGGAACTCAGCTTGGCCTGCACAAGCTAGGGCCCAAGCCCCTTCACCCTGCCTGTGCTCCACCCCCTCCAAGAATCCTCTCCAGTCTTGTACTCCTTGGCCCACTTCAAGTCAGTTCCTCCAAAGCCCTGCCCAGTCACAGCCACGTGTACCCAGGGTATACCAGTTGGCAGAAACTGAGAGGCTTAGAGCCCCCAATGCCTTTCTCAAGGCCTTGAATCCACACCATACTGTGTTCTAAATCACCTGTTCTCACTCTGGAGGCACAGCCCAGCCTGTCCTAGTGGGGCAGTATCCAGGGCAAGGCTGCCTGGTGGATGGGAGTGAACAGGTCAGAGCCTGTGGTGAGGGGCGTGGAGGCCCGAGCCTGCAGAACCAGAGCTGCAACTAACAAATACAATTCCTCAGGGCTTCAGAGGCCACTGGTGACAATGTCCTCACTAGGACACAGGGAGGGGCAGGCCCAGGGGTCCATGCCCAGTCCATTGTGCCTGGTTCTCTCTAGATAGGTCAGATAAGGCTTCTAGCACCAAGTTCACAGCACACAGGGCACCTTGACCAGCCACTGGAGCCTGAGGGCTCCACTGCCTAGTGACAATGTCCCGGCTGGAAACCCTCCTGGGGTCCATGGCTCATTTGAGACCTAGCCCAACAGAACATGGACCGAATATTCAGCTGTCAGAACAAGGGCCCCCAGTATCCCTGGGGACAGATGTGACTAAGCCAGGCTTAGGAGTCATGGTAGACAGCTGAGGGTCCATACCAGGCTTATGGCAGGAAGGTCAGAGCCATGTGCAAAGGTGAGTCAGCAAATCCAGCACCCCAGCCTTCCTGGGAACTCTCTCCACCTTTCCCTGGCTGGCTGAGCTCAAATGTTTTGTTCTGTGTAGCAAGTAATGTACTGGGTCTGGCTAGGTTCCAAATCTCTCTGATGTCAGAGCAGGCTGAGGCTCTAGAGTGTCCTGTTGGTCTAAAGGACTCCCAGTCCACCTATGTTCCAGGGCTGGATGGGTTCTAAGTTGTCTATTGAGCCAAGGCTAGCAGGTCCTCGATCTTTCCGTGGTTCAGTGGTGGTTCTGTGAACAATGCAGCAGCGTACCTCCTCAAACAACAGAGGCTTTTGGTAGCAGCAATCCAGCCTGCCATGGATGTGGGCAGGCAGAAGGATGATTTGGTCAGTTACCATGAGGAAACACTCAGCCACTCACAGGGTCTTATGAGCAGGCTCCCGCAGGACTTCCTGGGTTCTGTTAGTGGCTCCACATGGCCCTGTGGGAACCGTCCCTGGGCCACCTCTGTGGGGAGGGCTATAGGACATGGAGAGCCATCTTCAGAGGTCCTCCATGGACTAAGCTGATGAGTTTAGCTGGACCTTGTGAAAGGCTGCCATGTCACCTGGTATGTAAAAGGTAGTATCATGTGATCTTCATCCTCTTTAGTTCTTCTTTTAAAGCTCTCCGATTTCCCAAGTGGTCTGGTGCTCGGTGTTATTAGTTCCGAAGTTCCTGGCCATCTTCATGTGCTGCTCCTACACCAGCATCGAGTGGTGACAACAGCAGCTAAGTGACATGCAGGGGAAGACTGGGGTCTACTCTCAGCCCCCTCCTCACTCCAGGCCACTGTGATCTGCTCTCTCAGGGGAGACGAGAGGAGGCATCTGGTACCAGGTCCACAGGACCTAGGTCACCCTGACCAGCTAAGAGCTAGGGGCTGGGTGCTGTGAGCACAGAGACCAGAGACATGGGTCCCCTGTTTCTTATACTGCTGCCCAGGGTAGGGCACTGTTGGTATTTAGAAAAGCCTCCAGGGGTAACCTTAGCACTCTTAATTCTCTATCTCTACCTGCCCATCAGTGGCACTGGGTAAGAAATACATCTTTGGGCTGGAGAGATGGCTCAGCAGTTAAGAGCACTGACTGTTCTTACAGAGGACCTGGTTTGGTTTCTAGCACCCACATGATAGCCAACAAGCATCCATTAACTCCAGTTCTAGGGGATCTGATGCCCTCTTCTGACCTTGGACATTGCATGACACAGGTGCACTATCATACATGCAGGCAATACACCACTTGTACACATAAAATAAAACCAATATTTAAAGCCAGCCATGGTGGTGC